GCTAATAGTGGACCTAATGAGGATCCTATGACGATTTCATCTTCCTATCAATAAATCTTGTTGAGTGGATAACTGTGGATACCAGGATGTTCTATAAACGTATTGAAGGTTGTCAGATATTCCATTTTAGCTGACATATTAAATGTAGGCATAGAAAAGCACTTTCGAATTAGTGTATAGACTTCGAATCACCTCACCTCATGTCAGTTGACACGATTGTGAACCTTTAATGACTGAGGTGGTTGGGACACGTGTTACGTATGCCTTGTCACTAATTGCCTCTTCACACAATGCTGGTCGGAGTGGGTTCAGGATGGAAAAAGGCTCAAGGTGGCCAGACTAAAACACAGTTCCAATGTATGAAGTCTCTGACTGTTGGTTTGAGCCATGTGGGGTGATGTAGACTAGGTGGTTGAAGTTGGCGAGACAAGAGGAACCAGTGGTTGGAGACTGACTCTAAGTGATATGGCTGAGAACTAATGTTAGTGTCGCAGATGTATACAGACATTATCGTCATCTTGACGACGCTTTACAGAACCTCACCATTTTCTCATTCTTTCTTTCTCTCGTTTAGTACTTTGTGTTTTTTTTGTTGACTGAATTCTCTTATCTTCATGTTCCACTTCATTGCCTTGTTTACTTGATGTAGTGATATGAGGTGTGGCAACTCGGACTGTTACGCAGTAGTGCCTGGTCCTATGTTGATTAGGATGGATTAACAGGTCGAGAAACGTACTAGTAAAATAGATCTAATGTTAAAAATCGAGCACTACAGGAACACCTAACATATCGACAATTAACTTCCTAAATAATTCAGTAACTTCACAAGAAATTGCTGAAAAAATATGACTCGCAGTTACTACTCATCTGGATAATAATGATGTAGACAGTACAGAGATGAAATGTAAAACAATACAATGAAAGCACCTCGGAAATGGTAAATAGAGTTCTCCATAAGACCGAAATTAAAAAAGCATTCGAATCTACAGAATCACTTAGAAACTTGTTGCAGTTTGCCTGGTGGTGGCTAGCATAAGAATCTAGGATGTGCGTTTCGTAATATCTAGGACTCGTCAGCTGGGAAAGTCTGGGTCCCAGTAAGTGATGGTTTTCCTAACGTTTCAAACACTAAAGCATTATTCACTCGACTAATGAGGCTGGAAAGTAACCTCTTGTGCAACGGGCACCACTTGTTGTTTAGCATTTAGGTAGGATTGTTGGACTTATTTTGGCAGATGGATTTTCATGAGGATGCCTAAATACTACTTGAATATTCACTATGGCGTAGTTTACCTGCTGGTTAGGAGAAGTGGGATCCCAGACAAATGTCTCACCATTTTTAGGACTCGTAACTTGGGAAAAAGCTGTATAGGTTAACTGTTCCTACTAATCTAAGTAGACAAGTTAATTTAATCTAACAAATCTCTTGAAATGATAACGAGGTCATATACGGGTCACGGTAGTTAGACGGGGTCATTTGGGCTGCCGAAGTTCAACATTTTAGCTACGTCAACGTCAGCAGACCTTATTAAGTTAGGTCCAATGTCTCACAAACTACAAGATGTGCTGGCAAAAACCGACAAGTTGACAGAAGAGGCAGGGCATCGAAGAGGGGACTTGAAGTGAACGTAGAGAAGACGGAGATGATGGAGATACCCAACCAACAACAGCATCAACAACAAGCACCAATCGCCATCAGTGGGAGAAACCTAAAGGAGGAAGTAGTCACCTTCACCTACCTGTTTAGGCAGCATCGTCTCAGCTACAGATGACACAGCCATAGATGAGGAAGTGAGTGCCAGTATTGAAAAACCACGACAGGTCTTCCTGCATTAAGCTGAAATAATCAGTGTAGAGATAGACTGCTCTCTGTACAAAGCGTAAACAACATCCGGATTTTCAACACTAACATCAAGTCAGTGCTTCTGTATGATAGTTTAGAGACTTGGCGCGTCACGAAAAGCATTTCTAACAAACTGCACACATTGATCACATCAACACCTGCAGCCTACGCTAACTCCATACTGACACTGAAGCTCAGATGGCCAGAATAATAAGAAACAGCGAGGAGGAACTCTGGCTGACAACCAATCATCTGACCAAGAGCCTGTCGCCCAAAGAATATGCGGGAGGAAGTGGAGATGGATTGGACATACACTGAGAAAGCCATTCGAGACACCACGCGGCAGACCAGGCCAGACCGTCGAGTGGAATCCAAAGGAGAAACGATGAGTTGGGCGTTGCAGTAAGGATGACATGGAGGAGATGGTGTGAGGAATAATTGAAAGCTTGTGGGTAGTGGTGGAGCCAGGTCCGAAAGACTTCAGAGAAGAGAGTGAAATTGAGACGTGCTACTGAAGCCGTATATTACAGTGGGAATCCAAAGCACAAATAATAATAATAATGATAATAATAAAGAAAATTAGATAAATGTTGGGGTTTGAAAGAGCTGTAGTTTTCAAGACTAACTTCGTAAGTTAGAAGGAGACATTGACAAACAAATTCTGATCCATTTGATCAGCATCTAATAGCACTAAATAGGAACAACTCATAATGTTTTAGGCATTTGGACAATCTTACTACTCATATTATGAAGAGAGAGAGAGAGAGAGAGAGAATCAGAACTACAATAACTTTGTCTCAAAGTTGTGGAGTTACCTTGGCCAAGCTGTGAACAACAAACAAGTTATATCCGAAATGTTATCCTATGTTTTACAGTGAGATATAATTGATAAATCAACTAAAATGGACCAGATATGCCTTCATTCCTTGTGTATAAAAAAGTTATTGGTCATGGCTTTGTTATGCATCAGAATGTTAGAGTGTTAAACAGAAGTTGGAAATATAGACCATTGGATTCCCACCCAGTGGCTCAATGATAGTGTACTGGCTACGGAACCTGAGGGCTGCTGGTTCGACCCCTGAGGTGTGGGATCGTGGGTGCGCACTGTTGAGGAATCCCATACTAGGAAGAAACAACCGTCCAATTGATGTCAGTCCATGAAGAATGCCCACAAATCCCCCGAATTCAATTAAATAGAATGTGCCAATTAAATCGACTCCATTAAGTTTAGACCTATGGGTATCAGGAATTTATGTAATGGGTTAATAGGTATATTTGTCAGATGACCTCATTTGCTATAGGATTTCAAATAGTAACGTTCTACCGCAACTCAGGCTTTCCTACAACTCGAACTATCATCCTACACTAGATTTGTATAAGTTGTCCAAATTAGGTCTTGCCTAGATAGACTCATCAATGATGGTACGATTACTGTTACATGAATGGATTGTCTTAGTTTAACGTCTTGTTTCATAAATAAGAAATCTTAAGAAATATCATTTCTATACTGTATCATAGCATAGATGATGGTAATCTCTAGCCATCCACACTATGAGCTATCTATTGAAAGGTCAATAAGAATCCAGTGTTCATTTCATAGCACTGCTGAAGAGCCTCATACATTCATCTAGTGCTTTCAGGTTTCCAATATTCCTCCAAATGATGCCAGTCAATGATGAATACCAATTTGAAGAACTTTTAAATCCCTACAAACTCCCAAATTGAATTTTTAAAAGGTGTTAAATTTATTTTACCATTTATTATTATTATTAGTCCCTTGGGTTCCCAATGGAACATAGGGCTTCAGTAGCACGTCTCCAGTCAATTCTGTTCTCCGAAATCTTTTGAACCTGGCTCCACGACAGTTCAGAAGCTCTCAGTTCCTCCTCGCACGATCTCCTCCATGTCACCCTCGGACGTCCAACTCGTCACTTCCCATGGGGATTCCACTCGAGCAACTGGCCTGACGCGTGATGTCCCCAGTCGGCTTTCTCAGTGTATGCCCAATCCATCTCCACTTCCTTCAACTGCATATTTGCTCAGTGATAGGTTCTTGGTTGGTTGGCTCGTTGACAGCCAGCCTGAGTTCCTTCTTGCTGATTCTAACTTTTCTGGCCATCTGATCTTCAGTAAGGAGCCAGTGTAGGCAGTTGTTGATGAATGTCTGTAGTTTATTGGAAATCCCTTTCGTAATGCGCCAAGTCTCTGAACCATCACATGGAAACACTGACTCTCGTTGGTGTTGAAAATCCGTATCTTGTTCCACATGCTGAGTGCAGAAGATCTCCACACTGGTTTCAGGCTAATGGACGACTGCCTTGCTTTTCCGGTTCTGACTTTGATATCCTCGTCTGTGCCTGTGGCGCCTGTAGTTGAAACAGTGCTGCCTAGATAGGTGAAGGAGGTTACTTCCTTTAAGTTTCTCCCGTTGATGGTGACTGGAGTTTGTTGTTGTTGTTGGAGTTGTTGGCGCAATATCTTCATCACTTCTGTCTTCTCTATATTCACTTGAAGTCCAGTCTTCGCTGCCTCTTCTATCAACTTGTTAGTTTTCGTCTGTAGGTCTTCAAGTTTGTGTGACATCAGGCACAAGTCATCGTTGGCGAAATCCAGATCTTCTAGGTTCTTTTCCGCAATCCAGCCAGCGTATCCCCCTCTTCTCACTCCCCACTGTTTGTTGCATCATCCAGTCAAGTCGACCACAATCAGGAATATCATGGGGGATAGTAGGCAACCTTGTTTCACTCGTCTTCACTTCAAAAGTTTCTTTAGCGGTTAGGTTTGTTTTACGGGGTAGAGTTGCTAGCCCTATGCCCAACCTTCTCTCTTTACCCGGACTTAGGACCGGCTAGTAACTAGTGAACTAGTTAACCAGGCGAGGTTTATTTTACCATATTCATCATTTATTGATCAACTACTAAACAAAAGGTTTCTTATCTCTTGTCCTTATGGTCAACAAAAACTTCTTCCAAAATGATAACAGAATAAAACCTTTTGGTTAAGAAATTTTATCTCATCCATAGAAATGACCATTTAAGGCGTAACATTATTAAACTGAATTGAACCAATCAAATAATCCGATTGTCAAATAACCAATCACAATAATTTAGCAAGCAACTTAAGAAGTATCCTATTTTATTTCAATCTATTTTGATCCATTCAGTTCAGTGTTTTTAACTTCATATCGGTAAGTGTCAATGTTTCTTCTACATATCTATCTGATAATTTAGAGGCTGTTGAAATACCTTTCAAAATGTAACATTTAGTAGATGTAGGCGTATATTATCACAGTTTTATAGTGATAAAATTTTCTGGTCTACAAATATTCTTAGTCTTCAACAAAGGATTCTAAGACTCAGGTTACTTCCAAATGGCGAGAACTTATCAACTGAATGGACAAACGTTATCTTTTATTATTAAACTTTAAACTATTACGGTAGTAAAATAAACTCATGTGTAGTTTGCTTGACGACTCGCAGTGAACTTCAAGACGCGCAATACATCCTATCCAAGACTCGTCAACTGGATAGAACTACACTTTAGTGAGTGATATTTTTCCCATGAAAACTTAAATAGAGTAGCCATGGATTCAAGAACCACTGAGTTGCCCACTATGGCACAGAGGCACGACATCTTTTCCCCCATCAACAATAAGACAGGATTAAGTGACCACTGCCGGTGTATGAGCTATTGAGTGGATGCTTGGAGATTGTTGAAAGTTTGCGTCTAATAGAAAGGCTGGATAGTGTTTAACAGTGGAGTCCATAACTCCGTTAATAAATAAACCACAATTTATTGCTTATCAGTTTTGGACAAATAACATCAGACTACTTTTAAGGTATTCAGTAAACTATACTGAGGAATAGTATTATTACTTGTATTATACCGTCGTTGATTGGACCGAATTGACCAGTCTCCGTTGGCAATAGGGCTCCTGTGAAGATACCCGTGTTCTAGTTATAGTAAAGATGGATATTGGCTAGCAGTGGAATCCAGGATGAGCATTTCGTCCTATTTGGGACTCGTTAGCTGGATGTGCCCGCATCCTAGTGAGTTATGTTTTTCCCACCGGGATTCGGACTTGGGGCCGATCGTTTCAAACGCTAGAGCATTTTCCACTACATTACAGCCACGACAACCACTTCTCGTGCGACGGTATAGTTCTAGTGTAATTACTTTTTATTATGCCATCGTTGATTGGACCGAAATAATAGGTATCTTTTGACCTAAGGGTCCCTGTGCGGATGCCTCAATATTACCTATGTTCTGGTTATAGTAATACAAATAATCATACTGAAACTATGCCCATAGACGAAGAAGTGGCTATCGTAGCTCAGTGGTGTATTGAAAAACGCTGTCGCTTTCGAAGCGATCGCTCCTGAGTCCGAATCCCGGTGGGAACAACATAACTCACTGGGACGCAGGTATATCAAGCTGACGAGTCCCTAATAGGACGAAATGCTCATCCTTGATTCCACTGCTAGCCACTATCCACCTTTACTATACTGGCGAATACTCATAGAAAATTTCACACCATCATAAACTTGAAGAGCAAGTGAATCATGACTGGTCCAAGAATAAATCTATTGCATTAAAACTAATCAGAAGTAATTCCATATTAGATTGTTTATTTGATATAGTAAACGATGACGGGGTTTAATTTAATCGACGACACCTAGAGGAGAATTCATTCTTCACATTCATATCAATGTAATCGAATGACTTTCAAACTTCTTCATCCAGACGATAGTAGCATTCGGTCATGAGTCATTCCGGTTACAAGTGCGATAGGTGTTGGTTCAATGAACAAGGATTCTGTGATCGATTTCCCCCCTCAAACATAGTCACATCACATTCTAGAAGTATCACCCTATCCAACACATTCTCTAGTGTCATCATTAGTCAATGCACGCAGACCGATAGCTAAGTTCTTCTCAAAATTTCTCCTCTCACTACAGTCTACCATCGTATGTCTCACTAAATTTTTATATTCTGCTATTCTGACTAACCCAAATCGGCTGCTTCAACCTATACACTTGACCTCAATATCTCTCTGAGCGAGTTTGTGCGTTCAAATACCACCCTACTCTCTCCATTGCCTTCTTCATACGACAATACTACAGAGGATTTGAATTCCCTCATATGCATGTTTTAATCACCACCAACATTACCATTCCTCCTCTTTTCAGTCCTTACAAACATTTTTATGAATTTTGTAGGATAGTTATTAAGAATTAGTGTCTCTGTGATGTATTTCATTTCCGTATATAGGCTTTTCGAGTTACTGGTTAGATTCCTAGCCCGATTACTTCTACATTTTATCAAGCCTGCCTTGAGAGATGGATATAGGAATAGATGACGTGAGATGCAAGTATCTATTCCAATATATTGCTTTCTTGTAAACACTGGTGTCTAAGCTTCTATCTTCTCACCTCTAGATTTTGCGATCTGACATAGGGGCAATTCTCCTTCTTCATTTTCTAATTCACAAGTGAACTGGATTGCATCTATTGTCTAGTTATTGTGTACATAAGGACTGTGGATATGTTCTGATTTCAGCATAGTAAGTGCGTCGTCTGCATATCGCCACCATAATTCTTGCGGTGGACTGGAATGTTCCTTCTGTTTGTTTTGAAGTTTGAAAACTTCTTCAATAAATCTTTAGTTTCATTGCTCAATTCATGGTCAGTTGTGAGCTCATTTCTGTCTGTCTCAAGTGTCATATTCATTGGTATATTTGTATACAGGTTCACCACATCAAAACTAACGATCTTTTCTCCTTCGACTAATTGTATATTGTTTAGTCTGTGTTTCAATTCACCTGAACTGGTGAGCCTAGATTTTGAGAGATTTCTAATAGACCATAGTATTGTAGATAAATATTTAGATAACTCATATGTTAATGTGTTTCTAAATTGAACTGTCGACCTAATAGGATAACCTGTTTTGTGAACCTTAACGGTACCATACACTCTACTGGATTATTAGTTTTACGCAATACATAAAACCACTGAGACTCACCCAGAGTTAGATTTATTCAGCTTACTAGATCACTTATGGACCTTTTTATTTTTAACTGTAGAAGTAATCGGGCTAGGAATCTAACCAGTAACTCGAAAAGCCTATATACGGAAATGAAATACATCACAGAGACACTAATTCTTAATAACTATCCTACAAAATTCATAAAAATGTTTGTAAGGACTGAAAAGAGGAGGAATGGTAATGTTGGTGGTGATTAAAACATGCATATGAGGGAATTCAAATCCTCTGTAGTATTGTCGTATGAAGAAGGCAATGGAGAGAGTAGGGTGGTATTTGAACGCACAAACTCGCTCAGAGAGATATTGAGGTCAAGTGTATAGGTTGAAGCAGCCGATTTGGGTTAGTCAGAATAGCAGAATATAAAAATTTAGTGAGACATACGATGGTAGACTGTAGTGAGAGGAGAAATTTTGAGAAGAACTTAGCTATCGGTCTGCGTGCATTGACTAATGATGACACTAGAGAATGTGTTGGATAGGGTGATACTTCTAGAATGTGATGTGACTATGTTTGAGGGGGGAAATCGATCACAGAATCCTTGTTCATTGAACCAACACCTATCGCACTTGTAGCCGGAATGACTCACAACCAAACACTACAGATACAGGGAATATTTTGCTACTAATAAGATGAAGGAAGGAAGTGTTGAAGTCTTATTATTCCTTTGATATGAATATATGGGGTATGTTGTGCTGGGAAAGTCGTCGAATAAATTATACTGTGTCACTGAGTTTTTTATATCAAATAAACAGTCTTATATGGAATTATAGTCTACCACTGTGCCCAAGGTTTCTTCTTGCATTATTCCGAAGTAAATACATCAAAATAATAGTTTAATAAAATGTTGTCTGTCTTAAGTATTTCTTCGAGCCCATTAGGTGAATCCAACCTATTTTATTCCCAGCATTCTTGTATCTTTAATAAAACTTAGCATAGTGTCTTTTGATAAAAAAATGGATTGAAAACATTCCTTAGAAATGCTCATTAATATATGATTAGTGTTCATACAAATAATAAATAGGAATGTTGGGCAGAGAAGTGTAATAGTTCATTTCATTAAAGATGAGTATTTAACAACGATTCTTTTCAATTTAGAGAATTTCAAGGGAGTTGTGTAGATTTGGCAATATTTCAAGTTGTAATTCATCGTAGACTGACATCAGTTGGAGGAATAAAGGAAACCTGGGAGCACTGGACAGCTGTTTCTTCCTAGTATGGGACTCCTCAGCAGTGCGCACCCACGAGCCCGCCAAGGATCAAACCCGCAACCTTCAGGTTCTATGGCCAGGGCATTACCATTGAGCCACTGGGTAGGAATCCAGTGGTCCATATTTACAACTTCTGTTAGATCACGATATAGCGCAACCGCCACCTAGTGTCATCATCGAGTAACTGTTCTAATGACCATCAGGCTTGCACTATATCGTGAGCTAACAGAAGTTGGATATATGGACCAATGGATTCTGACCCAGTGGCTCAATGGTAACGTGCTGGCCGCGTAACCAGGGGGTCGCGGGTCCGATCCCTGGCGGGGTCGTGGGTATGCACTTCTGGGGAGTCGCAGGTTTCCTTTGTTCCTCCAACTGATGTCAGTCTACGATGAATAACAACTTAAAACTTAGAGAATGTCAAATCTTCATTATAAATTCATTAAGGTTGAACAAAGCATTTTCAGCTTTCAAATAATTGTATTTACAAGTTGAACTTTATTCTATGGCCTAGAGGAAAACGCTTTAGCGTTTGAAGTTATCCACTCTGAGTTTAAGTCTTGGTGGGAGGTAGGGGCGTTAAACTGATGAGTACCAAACAGGACGAAGCACACATCTTAAAATCTACTGTTAGCAACCATCCATCAAAACCTAAGCATTTGTGCTGAAGCCCATATGCCAACATAGATCCATGAACTTAGCCCAATTGACAACGAGAAATTACAAAATATAACATTACAGAAATCATATCAGTCGCACAGGGAGTAATTATCGCAACCCATTGACCTATTGGATAATGCTCTGGCGTTTGAAGCAATCGGTTCTGGGTCCCAGTGTCAATAGTAATAAGATTATTCACTGGGAGGCAGGTATATCGAGGTGACGAGTTTCAAATAGGAGGAAACTTGCGTCCCTACACGAAATTACGACCCAT